GCTCCCAGTATTGCAGTGGACAGACACAAACATATGGGGTTTAATTCCCAGAAGAACGATTAGCCACTCTGACCTATTAATTTCGCTCGTTCGACACTTCTGGAACATAGATGAAATGTGCTCCACTTACTGAAAGCTGTTGCTCTTTAATCTTCTTTCTACACAGTACGATAAGAAAATGTGGCTTTTGTTACAATTTACAAGAGAACACTTCAGAAAAATGGAACTGCTGGACAGAGAATTGTGCCCCAGCAGTGAACCAAACAGACGTAAGACACAAAGTGTAAAGTTACACCTAAAATATGGTTTGAACGAATCGATAAACGCAGCGTCGTGCACAGAAACAGACAGAAACGATAGGAATTTTAAAAAGTATGCAAAAATAAATCGTGTATTTCCAGAATGTAGGGTATTTCTATGATGATGGAAGTTCCAGATATGTCTATCAAACGTGGTGCACTTTTGTAAAAAAAATCATTAAGGCCGAATATAAAAGTATTCTTTCACTTTTTCGTATATTTAATATTATATAGAAAGTTTGATAATGCTACATCAAAAAACTGCGACTTTTGACAGAAAATTGCTGTTGTAGGTCCCCGATACGGAAAAGTCGATCATTCTTGCTCCGTACAGTAGAAAATTAACACGTGTAGTTTTGTAGGTCTTTGATTTTGAAAAATTGGTCTATGGCAAAACTCTTTTCTCTTTTTGTCCGCCGAACAGCCTAAGCGTCTGGTCATCTGACCGCTTATCCGTCAGGCCTTCCGTTAAAAACAGTAGTGCTTCAACGATTCTTAGTATTTTGCCAAAATACTTGTGACGTTCAGAAATAATTGGCGCGACAATTACTTTGTGTTCACAGTAACAATTTAATGAGCGAGTGAATAAAGATTATACTGCAAGTATTTCCCGCCAGTGCCGCACTTTTTCTGTAAGTTGGCACCTTTCGTACTTTAGCAAGTCATTGTTCCTTTAGCAAGTTGTATCCCGGCGCCACTGTTGGACAAGTGCATGAAGTTCATTATTGGTGATAAACGTCTTACTCCGCATGACCTCTTTCATTGCGTCGTGTAGGGCGTAGGCTCTAGGAGCCAGATCCGCCGAGTATAGAGGATCTGGAGTCTCGTGGAAGATCCATGACTCGTCGGCGGTGACCAGACGCCGAAGGAATTCTTTCTTGGATCTGCTCTGTACTGTTTATCCAACTGTTGGCGCATCTCCACATATTTGTTTTTCTGCGCAATGGTGAGGATATAGGGCGCCCAATGTGCACACATCTGCATCTACAAATCCGAATGGATGATGGAGTGGAGAGTTCGCTTGATAGACATGGTGCCTTTTCTAATTCATCAAACGTGGTTCGTCTGTTCATTATCAAGTCATTGACACGTTGAGCATTGTTTGATTGGCAAGCAGTTGCTGAACGCTCAGAGCTTTCTGATTTTCAGCACAGTCCATGCCGTTTTTCAACTGACATCCAACGAAACACGAATCTGCAACTTTGCGATGATTCCCTCCATATACCTCCTAACCTATTTTGGATGTACAAAGCAGTCACTTCTTCCTCGAGAGAAACCACACTCTCCACCGTTGCTCGTACTTGTCTCATTCCATGTTGCCTTATCGATGTCCACCTGTTTACTGGCAAGCCGGAACATTTGCTGTTGGCATGAGCTACTTGTGGGAAACAGCGACACCTTTTAGCGGCTGTAGACAGTGCAATAGTCTATCTTCTTGCATACATCCAAACACATTTCAAACTCTTGCTTTGTAGAAGTTGTAAAGCGAGTACCAAACTATATTGAATGTACTAAATCCTTGATCACCTCGATAAATCGAGCACGAATTAGAGCCTATAAATTTAGAAAGGAATTCTTACAAATTTGCGAATGCTTTTAATGATGTCACTGGTACATTTTGTAACTTCTGTTAAAACGGTACCCAATTACTTTCTCGCCTTTCTATGTACTACGTAGTAAAGTAGAATTTATGGTATTTTTGCAACGAAAATCTGTAATTTTTCGTGTGAGAAACTAATATTGGGCCCAGGTAATAAAACCGGATACATTTTATTTCTATAAGTAGTACATTAAATCCTCTAACGCCTGATGTAGTCAGAATGCCTGATGTTCGTCCTTGATTCCGAAAAGTCGATTGGCGGCAAATCCTCTCTCTTTTCCATCTGCCTATCCGAGAAACTATTCACACGATTTTCTCCAAATATGATATTCCCTGATCGATGATAACCAACGCGAGATTCTGCGAGTTTTGAAGTGATTTTTTTAATATTTTGCGGTACTCTTCATTATCTGATACAATACTATACTGATCTACCCCCAGGCTAAAATAAAATGCCACATGTTTACATACTGCAATCATGATTAAATCTTTGTTTCTCGCGAGTGCACCTCT